ACATAATTAATTATAAAAATATGAAAAACTAACTACTCTGCAACAAACCCAACATTATTCCTTAAATGAGTAAATTCATTAACAGCAATTCAGAAATGTTTCTCAAAGTCATGTATCTGCCTTTTTTAGATTATGTACCATGCATAACTACTTATCAACCTGCATTAATAGAACTGTAATTTATAGCAGTATGTCACAGCTGTCAAACTGCCAGAAAAGTGATGCAAGCCATGTTTACGTTCAGGCAGTTGCAAACCGACAGCTCTAACATTACCTTCTTGCCTAATGATAGACTAATACTCCTTTAAAATTATAGTAGTATATGATCATTACAGAAAAAAGAATATCTCTTTTAAAAAGCTGCACTCAAGTCTAGTCTATTCAAGATTCTGTTGAAAGCCAACTGAATGAGACAGCAACTACTTAAATGCCAGGTATGAAAATAATTTATATTACTAGATCTCAAACTGCTATGCCCACTGTGATTGTGCAAATCCTTTTGTTTACCTGAAACAGATTTATGGATAATCTTGGCAAAGAAGGTATAAATCCATGCCATTTTACAGAAATGGAATATCACAGAGTAAAAACCAAATTCCAAATAAAACAATCATATTTGATAAAATTTTATGCTTAATATAAGTATTAAGGCTAATATTTGTTTTTATCTCTACTGTTCCTAACTTTGCCTGTATCTTCCCATAACTTCATTTTATTTCTTTTTTGCAGACTGTCTTCTCTCTCACAGATCTCTCCATCTTCTTCATATTAAGGAGAAACAAAGGGTAAATAATTTCTTATTCAAAATACTGCTTTAAAACACATGAAATTAAAGTGGAATACCTGTAAGTTTAATTCAAAGCAGTAAATACGCCATTAGTGGCTTCAAGCTGCATATGCTTCATAGATAAGAAACTTCCATGCATTCACAACCATTATACAAAACACTTTTCTGAAGCCTGCTTTCACATCACTAGCTGTGCTGTTATATAGCTACAATGCCACAATTATGAAGAAAATCTTACCTCCTTTGATTCCTATAATGGTACCTCGAAGACCAACTGGAACAGAAAAGTTCTCTCTTACATTGACAACACGGTCAAACAGCTTATACTCTGCATCTCTATCTGGAACAACCCCATTCTGTTGTTCTAATGGCTGACAATAACCAAAAGACTGTGTTAATGTTTGCAAAAAAATAGCGATTACAATCAAAATGCATTTATAACAATATCTGAAAAACACACTACAAAGTGAACTATCGTGTGTGTGTGTTTAAGAACAGAGATTCTTCCTCCCTAGACACAAAGCATTTTTTTTTTCTTGCTGCTGTCACTTACTGCTTCTGCCTGAGAAACAAAATGCCAGACCAATGGGATCAGTTTAGATAAAATAAAGCCATCAGGTGTAACCTGCCTGTATGAGTAACATGGCTGTCTCTGAAATGCCAAGCAAGATGAGCAGTTGGTTCTATGTCAAGAACTGAACAAAAAGCAAAACAGGCAAGAAGAGACTAACAGGAAGTACATTTTATTTTGCCTTCATTGTACAGCCAATAAGAACTGTAGAAGCATGAAGGACAGAAGGTAGAAAAGAACTGAAAGTCAGTGTAATACCTCATGAAGTCTTTAGTAGAAATTCTCTCTTTTTAGAAAAAGACTATGTTATCAAACTGATTTTTCTAGAATGCATCATAAAACTTTTCCTTCCATCAATAATGTCATACAATTCCCCTCTCTGAAAGTTGGTATGCTTAGGTAAAATAAATACCATCTGGACAAATTAACTTCAAGAAAAACTCTTCACGTCACTTACTCTGTACAGTAAATGGGGTTTCACTGTTACTCGCACCTTCTTGTTGCTCTTTCTCTGCTAAAGGAAAGAAACAGAAAGTTATTACAAACTAGTATAGGAAACAACAGTGGATTTCACATATAACAGAACACCTAAAAAGATAATGGAGAATTCTTTTGTTTCTTTTAGATAAAGGTATACAGCTTTGTGAAGTCTTTAGGATGACTAAGGCCAGTTTTCAAAACATGAGATTTCTTACCAAAGCTTTTACATTGTTTGGCTAATTTGAGAATTCACACCGATTTTATTAACATGTCCTTGCAAGTAATTTCAAAGAAATAAGCCCATTGTTTCACGTGCCTTTGCCTTTAGCATTTGCTTTAGTAGTTTCCTTGTCCCCTTTTTTGATCTGTGGCTTTCAGAACAATTTTCTAATTTTCCTCAGACCAAAGAGAAACTGCAAGGGAAAACCAGCTGGGATTGCATGTAGAAAAAGCACTTCAGTAGTTCAGAATATATATTGACACATGCTCCTTTCTAAAAATCACAGTTCAGAGTGCAGCCTAATGCTGCTGGATTGCCTGAAAAAAGAGTCAATTAAGAAGATTAATAATGAGCTCTTCTGAATTTTTAGGACAATTCACATTACAAATTCAGGCCTTACATTACGTTCTGTATTTTCTTTGGAATGACAGGTAATCTTCAAACGTCTTATTCTAATTCAAAAACTTTCAAAGTAACGAGCAGTTGCTTTTTGGTGCACCCCTGCTCACAATGAAATCACGCTGCATACCTTGCATTTCTCTATTTCTTCTTCAATTTTCTCAACAATGGCTGCATCCAAAATTTGCAAGTCACAAGATGCGCGAGACAAAGCAGACACAGGATGTGCCTTTAACCAGGCAACAATTTCTTGAACTTTCTCAGCTCTAAATAAAAAAATCACACCAATTAAAACTTTTAACTGCATAAACTAAGCATTTTACCACATTCCTTGATTTAATCAGCACGTATGATGATATAGGTGCAATGCTTATATACATTCATAAAGTAACAGAATTTAAGAGTTCTGCGTGAGTTTACAACAAAGGTTAAAAAATAAAAATCTAACTGAATCATGCAATACAGATTCAAAACTATAACCTGAAGTTCTGCCAAGAAAAAAAAAGTATTGGTAAACTATGTCTGCATACAATCAGCTAACCATAACCAGCTGTGATTAAGTGTTCTGTGACCAGCTGTGTCTCAGAACACGGTGAGAAGGAACTTCAGGGCATGCCTCTAGCAAAATGGAGCACAAACCTGAGATTAGTGTCCCACAGAGGTATATCCACCCGGCAGGAGTCCTGCATCATGCAGACTTACCATCTCAAGCCTGTGAACAGGGCTAATACTAAAAGCTTTTTTAATGTTTCTGTACTGTGTCTGGAACTAAGGGTGCTCCTTGTCTCCCAAGAAACTGCCTGAATACATACTTAAAATCTGAAAAGTACTTTAAATTCTGTACATGTTATTTTTCAAATTTGAAGTGATCTTTAACATTTGAAATAATTACTGCTTATTTTCCAAAAAAGATCTTTTGGTGATTTTTGTGATTATTCAAAACTATGCTTATTGAAGGTTACTTTAAAAGCAAGAATCATAAAGTAGATACTGAAAATTAGTTTTCTCACTTATCAGACTCTGACAGAGACTTGGACTCCACAACTACAATGTACAACGTTCTGATAATTTTTCCAGAGTCATCACTAAACTCATGTTGCTCAAGGAACAGCAAGGTTACAGTTACATAGCAGCCACTATTTGATTACCATCATTTCACAATGTTGTCAGTCTTTATTCTACTTATTCTGGGGGGCAGGGGGAATAGGAGAAAGATGGCTTACCCATTCTCATCCTCTCCAGGCCAAATGTCATCTTCATAGAAGATATCTTCCTGGCTATTCTTGGCTATATAATTAAACAGTTCAGGAACCCTAAAAAATGAATAAACGGAAGATAAATTTAGTTTAATGTCAGCATAGACCACAAAAAAGCCTCATCAAAACAAACTCTGATGAGCTTCAAAATTTCTGGAGCCCAGACAGATTATTTTTTACTTAATTTAGTGTCATACTGTACATTTGTCAAGGATAAGGTGCTGACAAAATTATCCCAAAATATGCTTCTCCCTGGAGGGAGAGACTGTTGAAGGAAAATACTGGAGTAAAATTTAAAAAAACCCAAAAATCAAGCCATCTCCAAAAGCAAAGTCATTAACTCTTAGAAGATATGTGTCCAGAGCACAAAATCCAACGACTGATCCAAAGATGGATAATTTGGATGAAGTTTGTATCCAATATTTACCTTTCTAAATACTCAGCAAGTAGTTGTTCTACTGCAGAAGAATACATCCATTCATTTCCAACTTTCTTAGTATAGCCAGGAACTTCTTCATTCTTCTTATTGAACTTCAGGTTTAGTCCCACATTCGCTTTGTGTTCTCCATGGGGGCTGGAAATAAGAAAAAGTTTATTAACTTCCAGTAATAAATATGTGTGTGTGTATATACATTAGAAAACATAAACATACAACCTCAGCCTTAAAACACAATAAAATTAAAATTAAATTCATTGTACTGTTTACTTGTTAACATTGTGTCAGCTGTAAATGTTACAGGACATATGCTGTGCTATGGTAGCTTTCCACATCCATGTCCATACCTTTTACTGCAAAGGAGGGTAGGGAATATTTTACCCATCTTCCCTAATAGAGACCTTATCAACCACCATCTACCTGGCGTTTACCAAGTTGTAGATGGATGCCCCTGAATAACCAGTGGGGAACAAATGTACATGTTAAATCAAAGACGACGTTCGTGCATCAACCACTTCCTTAATGAGTTGTCCTAAGAAACCACACAAATACATAAAACTATACTGATTGCCTCCCTTGTATATATATAAAGCAGTTTTATATATATATAAAGCAGGTTTTTTATATATATATATATGAAGTAGTTTTAGTCCTAACTACTTCTTAAAAAAATCTACTTTTAAGAAAGCTTCACATCACAAAACAGTTTATACGCTTGGTGAGAACAACACTTAAACATACCAGAAATTAGGTAGAGTTGTATTAGAATTTAGAAGCTTTTCTACAGTCAAAATTCACAAATAGAACTTACTTTTTCTTTGATCCTCTTCCAATAAAGATACTCCCTGTAAATCTGGAGACAAGATATCCACTTACTCCAAGACGGCTGGCCAAAATATATGCAGGATTGTATTTCACAGAGTATTTCTTTAAAACAAACAAACAAAAAATATTGGCAATTCCCAAAGGATAATAATTTTTATACAAAGGGCAAATGAATGAAGCATCCCTTAAAGACATTTACCATTGCAAAATAGATTTGACCAATTCTTTAAGCTTCTACCAGAAGCACTTACATGCTGGTTCTGTATTAAAGGATCAAGCTGGGGTTCACATGGAATATTGAAAACGACACGAATTCTACCTTCTGTGATCACATCACGTGAATCTTGAACCTTGGAGAGAAACACAACACATTAAAAATGTTATTTAAAAACCACAGTCTCTGGATACTTTGTCAATAATTTTGCTGCAGCAGTCACGGAGATACTTATAGATTCATCATCATGCCTTGACCTGTACATTCCTCACAGAGGCAATGAAACAGCATTAAAGGAATTGATGACTAAAATTGGTCCAAAATGGGAACTCTCTGCATTGCAAATTATCCCAAATAATTACTAAAAATAATCACGCATTGAAGCTGTGCTATCTTTTTCCTGCAATGTGAACAACAGTGATAGGGAAAGCAGAAGAACTCCCTCCTCCTCTGACTAAGCCATCAGGGAATCTTTGATATGAAATTTTAGCCAGCAAGCGACCACTGCTACCACAGAACATATTTTTATTATTTTAGGCTTGTGAATAAAGAAGTCGGGGTGTGTGGGGGGGAGGGTTGGGTGGGTGTGGAAGGAAAAAGATATGAGTGGAACTAACTTCTCCCATGCAGCCATAGTAAGGAGATCCCAGCATAAACGCTATACTTCCAGGAGGAAATAAGTCATCCAAAGTTTTGATGTTTGAAAAACGAGAGTCAAAGGCTTTGATATCCTACATAAAAAAAACAAAATTGATAATGTTAAGTATCATCAGGTTACAGTAGAATAATTAAGAAATTCATCTAAATAGACACTTATTCTAAAACATCTGCATCTGAAATAATTCAAAGGCAAAGAAGTTAATGCTATATTACACAAGCAACAATGCTACCCTGTAGAGCACCACTAACTGTACTTCATTCAAAATACCATCAGTAAAAACATGACAAATGATATTTTTTCAGCAAGATCTCTAAACTGTGCAAATTTTGTCCCAAATTTCATGATGAAATCCTTGCCTAAGCATGATATGTTTCTTAATACAATAAATTACATTAATTTGTTCATTTTTGTCCATTCTTTTGTTTTAAAGGAACATATACTCTTTCCTCTGCATACTCTCAACAGAGTAAGGTGCTGTGCACCTTCTGTATTTACCTTGACAACAGTTTGATAAACAAAAGGAAGAACTTGTTTGGACCACTGCTTCTCCAAATAAACTTCTCCATTTTGTTTCAGTTGGTATCTATTACCAGTGAGTAACTGAGCATATACAACTATTGATGTTTCGTGGATAATTATTCCTTTTCTTCTCTGGTAGCTGAATACAAAGCAGAACATTTAGTTTGATTACAATAAACAGAACTGAACCAAGAGGATGGAATTAATTGCTTGAAATAAAATAAACAACAACAAAATTATTCCAATAGTTTGCTTCACATTTTATAAAGATGTCCAGAATAAACAGCTTAACCAATTGCTTGTACATGGCAGTTGCACAACCACCACTACACAGCCAAGTGTGTTAATTTAAACACGTTTGTACCAGTACAGTGAGAAGTGTTGGGGTAATTAAGGCCGTTAACAAAAATGACAGCTAATAAAATGGCAAGTTTCTGTACCTCAGTTGTCTTCCACTGGGCACCCACAATTCAGAAGAGCAAAAGCTGTATTCAAATTTAACAATGCTAAGCTGTTGAAGTTATATAGAATAGAGTCATACAGTATCTAGTTACACCTCCTACAACTGAAGACTACTAAGACCAGAACAGAAAATTGCGTGGGAGAGTAAATACTGAAACTCATTCATTTAAGAATTCTTTTGTAACAGCATCTAATGTGAAATACCTAGGGACTAACTCCATATATTCTGAAATTTCAGCATGAGCTCTTTTATGGGTTTTTTGTTTTTTTTTTTTTTTAATTCCAGCAGACTCATTAACCCTTATCATCAAGTATGCAGCAGCTCTTCTCTGTTACTTAGGTCTGTAATACAGCAACAAAACATCGCTAAGCTATGAAATGCAAAGTTACACTCGATTTGCAAAGTTACTTACTGCTCTGAAATGCCTTGAATGTCTTTTAACCATGTGCTTTGTTCCTTATCTCCAACGTATGCCACTTTAGTTGGGGGCACTGCATTTCCCATGTAAAGCTTCTGTGTGCCATGTGGTTCTTCCAAATAAAACCTTGAGAATACCATGACAAGTATGAATCTAACCACATGAGATTAATCTAGACATAACCAATTGTGAGCAGAACTTAGAACAGTTAGAAATCACTTGTTAAGGACTTGCAGCACCGTTTTCTCAACCCCTTATACAACAGACCACACAGCATATTTTCCTATAAAAAATACCAGTGCATAAGTTGAAAAGATTGTGTAGAAATGTTTTCTTTTACATTAATTCGTGTGGATTTCTGTGCATGCATTTTCCCCCTCAAAGTTAAGAAAGAGCTCTTCCAAACTTCTACCTAATGGCAAAATACTGAAGGACTGGACTTCTACAGAGATAACCAAACCTCAGAATGACGTTAAACAAAGGTTCTTCCACCAAGCAGCCTTTGATACATCTGGACTAATTTGCTGTTAGCAAGTATTGCAATAAAAACACAAAACTTATTTTGAATAAAACAATAAAGATGACAAACAAAGATCTATGAAATGTCTCTTACTTAGTTTCTCCATCTGACACAGCAACAACTCTGGCTTCTTCAAGGTGTGGCCAGTTAACGAAAACACGTTTTCCAAGTACCAAACTGGCAACATTTTCTACTACCTGAAAAAAATCCAAACAACCAGAAGTTACTAATTGTTTAACATACTAAAAGATTTCTGTTAAAGTGTTTTCAAACCGTTTTTGCAATAAAAACTATCCTAGTAAAACAACAGTTTTTTTCAGAATAAAAAACTCATTTTAGCTTATTAAATTATATTTTGATACATATAACAATCTCTTATTAGAAATGGAGAATAATATTTAATTTTTTTGGACAAAGTATCATATTCCAAGTGTGGCTCTTTATATGTAGCATATGTTAGTTGTAAGACCTGGATTGATTTACATTTCTGGTATAGGCTTACTACGTCCTCTTTTTGTTAAATCCCTAAGAACTATTTGTGTCTGTGGAACACAATGATCAAGCTGACAATTTGAAATTAGTGGAATATTTTTTATTGTACATTTTACTTTTGTATTTCACTGAAATAAAGGAACAGCGCTTATGTCCTGGACTTAACCAGCATCTGTAATTTTAGTCTCACATTATCTTCTGTTTTTTTCAATGAGTTTCTACTATTTTTTAATGTATTATTTTGGCTTATTTAATTATCTCTGCCAAGTATCTATAGTCACTCTCCCTAACTCTCTCCTGTAAAATCCTATCTTGTCATTTTTCTCCTCTGTTCTTTCCTGGTTTTATTTATTTATCTCTGAATCTTTTTTTCTTTTCCCAGATTTATCCTATTCTACTTCATACTTTTGATTATTAAATAGAGTTGGCTTTTAAAGGATTTAAAAGAAATATATATTTTGCTTCTTAATGTCTCTGCATCAACTCTTTCCTCTAATTCCTCTATTAAACAGTCTTATTTAAGTGGAAGATGTTAAGTCTGCTTTGTTGATGAAAAGGGACTAATTGAAAATGAAAAGGTCTATATACTCAGCTACACAAAAGACAAGGGGCGCTGGTCTGGAGACCCTGCTTCCTTGCATTTATACTATTTCCAACTATTAATTACTCAGGAGTGAGTCTCACCAGCTCCTTACCTGAGAACATCTGATGACTGCCCACAGAGAAATGCCAGAAACTCTACTAGGGAGTCTGACATTTAGTATTCTTAAGTCAGAACAAATTTAAGCCTTTCAGCAGATTCCCAGAATTCCAGATGGTTCCCCACACAAATACAGCATTTTAATCCTAATGAACTTTTTGCTATTGACTTTGACAGTCAACAAAAGCTTTCAGTATGAACTAATAACATTGATGTTTTCAGTGAACTGATTTGACTGATGTTTTCAAAATACATAGTCAGAATACTACCACCTAATGGTCTCCACTTTGGGCTGGGAGTTAACAACTCCATAGTTCTTGTGCTGGCAATTAATTCTATGGCTTTGAGCATACGGTCATACTTCATCTCCTTTCTATCAATTAACCAAATTTTAACAAGTTATACATAAAGCTCATTTTGAAATCAAGCATTCCTAGTCAAATAAGATTTTACAAAGTATCTAAATATATTATTTTACATTAACTATTCAATATATTAACTATTCTTTAAGAAATGCTTGGGTTTAAACATTTTCTTAAAAACTTTTTTAGTAGTACTCTATAAACATTTTTCTTCTGTAATACAAGACACAAATAACCAACATTCCAAATCTGACTATTCAACAAATCAGTTCTTTTATGACAAGTTGTTTTTGGTGTGGGTTTTTTGTTTGTTTGGGTTTTTTTGTATTGTTTTAGGTTTTTTGTTTGTTTGTTTGTTTTTTGTTACCAGCTGACTGCTTACCTGTTCTTTTGAGTTCTCATTAGCTATGATTTCTAACATCATGTTTTCTCCATGGCTGCTTTGCTGAAACACCTGGACACCACTTTTTCTAAGATGGAACTGTGTAAAAACAAAACAGCAGATAAAACTTACTGGATCTCTTACATAGCTATCTATTAAATACAGTGGAAAACATCAGAAGAGAAAAATCTTTTACCTTATGTTTAATGTGCTTTAAAGTAGGAAATCCACAGAAATATAATGCACTCTTGTTGATTTTAGTTATCTTATTGTGGGTTATTTCTACGTGCCAAGCATCCAAAGGTATAGTTTTATACCTAAAAAACAAGTTGAACAATATTTGCTCATGCAGATTGACCTTCGGCTCTAGAAACTTTCATTACTCATTCAAACACTCATTAATTGACCAATGCTTTGACTTTTCTGTAGGGTGCCAATTAAGTCACTTGGAATCTCTACAAAGGACTATGCTATTGCTAGACACTACTCATTAAGAAAAAGACAAAACATCAAGCCACAGTATGTCTCAATCTCACTATTTTAATTCACTGTTATTGTCAAATTCTTAACTGCAATGGTTCCATGTGGTATCATGCATTTTCACAACTATTAATTCTCCACTGAGTGTAATCCTGCAGCAGGCATTCCTCCTCTATTATGCTTTAAGTCTGACTACTATCAAGGTTAGGTTTCCATTTAGTCTTGAAACCTCAGCCTTTGTTACATAAAGCTGGCTACTTTCAGTGCAAGGAAGGTGAAACACACACTCGTGTTCAACTCTGCACTGGATTCAAATGCTTTCATTTTTCTTATAAATGCTCTGGAATTAGCGTGTTGATAAATTGTCACTATTATCAGGTAGTTGTACTAGTCTTTCATCCTGTGTGTCATACAAAGTTTACTAATTCTCTTAAGAGTGTTCTGCTGACTTAGCATTGGTTCACTTGTTTCGCAAAGTAACGCTGGAAGGGGCAAACACTTTTACCAAACAATTTAATTGTAAACACTTTTACCATGCCATCCACAACAGGTAACATACAATTCAACATTTTACTTTTTTTCAGTGTATATACTGGCATATACAAGCTTTGGTTAAAATGCTAATAAAAAGTATTCTACCTTCTTTTAGTCTACTCTAAAACAGTTATGACAGTTTTACCTTGTATGGCATCTTTCTATTGCAGGGAATTTCTCGGGCCACGGTGACATGTACTGGAACTCTGCATCTTTGTCATACCAGTACATTAAGCAAGCACTATGAGTATTTCTTCGTTTCTCCTCTTCTTTTAGGCACTTATTACAGGATTCCATGGCCAGCAGCAGTCGTTTCTAAATTTTAGAGAAATTAGTGTATGTGAAACTGGCAACAAAAATTAGCATGGAAACATCTACTGCGGGTAAGTGGATAGCTATTTTTTTTGGCTAATATGTTAAGTTTCTAATTGCGGCATCACCTTTCTTTGTGACCCGGCTCTCTAATAAAACCAAAACAATTCCAATGGAATGCCTTTGGAGAATAAGTATTACCTTTTTGCAAATATAGTTTCCAAAGGCTAGCTATATTTTGCCTTTTACATTTAACATACAAAGAAATATTAAAAATATTTTAAATGTCATCATAAAATTCTACAAACTAACTGTTGAAAAAGCTTCAAAAGCTTATGTGTCATTCAAGTAGCAACTGTTGTCTTTTGTGAGAAGACTAAGTCCTGTCAACTTTTCACTTCAAACTATGGAAACAATTGATAGGCACATGCCACCACCTGTATATACGCTTAACATCTAATCTGCACTTCTATTTTCATCCACTCTTTGATGTGCTCTAATTTAATCTGATAAAAAAATATTACAATAACATATATATTACTATTATCCTATCTACAAAAGGAAAATGTTACTACTATTTTATTCCTCTCCTTTTTACCGCTTGATTTGTACTTAATGTCTTCTACCCATTTACTGGTGTTCATATGAAGAGATTTCCTGTAAACAGTCTGGCTTTTTCTTTCCCCTCCAAGTGTTTCTTTTTTTTTTTCCCTCATTTTTCTTTTTATGTATTCATATATATGATTTTTTTTCCCCTCAAATAATATGAAACTAAATATTTGAATAGCTGACCAAAAACATGAACAACAAAAACTCCACAGCCTTTACTTAAGACTTCTGCCACTTGCAGCTAACATTGCTTGTGGTAACTTAATCTGGCCTTACCCTCCAAGCAGCAAACATTTATATTTTTCTGTAGTCTTACTTAGTATTAAACTCCCATTTAATTTCATGTCTAACTGATTATTAATTAAGAAGTTTAGCAACTTCGTTACAAAGCTTTTATAGAGAGCAGGAGTTGAAAGATCTTACCTCATCAATAAATGGGATTAATACTACAGCTTCCCATTCTTGCTGTTTTCCATTTAGATCAGTTTTAAAGTCTGGTGGATAATACTCTATAATAGGAGAGTCTTGACTAATCATCAAATGCTAGGAAAATACAATATTAAAATTAAATAATATCAGAGACAAATTAGCAATAATGCTAGGAAGAGATAGAGGAAGGCTAGTATTAAAACCAATTCAAGGCTGAACAGGAATTTCGCATTTATAATTTAAATATCCTAGTCTGAAATTGCTTAGCAAATGCAAAATTTTCTATTTATTACAATATACTTAAGAATAATAAGAAGTATTTCACCATACATCTAAAATTTGAAGGTAGAATGTAATTAAGAGGACATGCAAAAATATCCAGGAAAGACTTCAGAATAAAGCAGACAACCAGTAAGTGACAGGTAAATGAAATTTAATTCTAAATCCTACCTGGTAGCATTTAGGTAGCAGATCTTTGCTAGCTGCTGGAAGTACAGCAAGAAGCTGTTCAAATGGCATGAAAGGTTTTCCCAGTTCAAATTTGATTTTGAGTTCACCTATGTTGCGAATATCTGACAGATAAGGTGCATAATGATAAGGATAATACCTGCAGGGGAAAAAAACCTCTTAAGTTACTCAATTTCAGCACAGCAATGTTAACCGATCAGAAACAAACAGAACCGCATTAAATATTCCAAGCACACAAGGTGAAACAATTTCTCATTTGACAATTTTTCTTACCAGCTCCATGACTGAACTCCGTGGTAATAATAATGCAAAATCCATTGTATTGCCTGGACATAACATTCAGCTTGATCAGCCAAGAAGTCACTTAAAAGGAAAAAGAAAGATACTTACTAGTTTTCCTCATTTTCACTAGTATATAAAAATTACTTAGCACTTTCTACATAGGAATGAAGACAGAGCATTTGAGGAACCTAATAAGACCATGGTTTTCTAGACTGATTGAACACTAATTGAATTTTTCTCTCTGGTCCTCACATACTTATTACAGAAAACTTGGCTTGCAGCTCTTATTGCATTAGCCAAAAGTATCACCAATGCAGTCTGCTGCCACATATTCTCTGCTTTCGACATGGATGAAAATTCTGTCTTGTAATAGATATATGTAAAGACTTATCTTTGGTGTTTAAAAAAAGAAAAAGAAAGGGGAAAAAAAAAACCCCATACACTTACTCAGAAACTACTTCTACCCCCATTTTAGTCATGTAGTAAGTTCTTTTGTATTGCCTAAATTCAGTTTCAAACAGATCATCATCTTCTGGTTCATCTTCCAATACAGCTGAAAAAGCAGTCATGAAAAGAAAAGAATGAATGTTCACTTCTCTACTATAGTAAGGTTGAAGACTTTCAGTTTTGCCTTTCTTGCACTGAAAGTACCATGAAACAAATCAATCAAAATCTTTACGCAGAGGAAGTCTGGAACGCTTTTGTCCTTTAAAGACTGGCAACCCATTTCGTAGCCCAATTACAGAACAAAGGAAAAAATACAAGCTATCAGAAAACAACTTAAAGCATTAACATACATTTTAAAATTTAAGCTTTGTCAAGAAGCATCTTATATCATAGAGTAGTATTCATACCTTTTTTACATTAAATTTCATAACATGAGCAAAAGACATTTCCTACAAGTGGAATGAGTTTAAAAACAACTCACACAACCAAAAACCCCAACGTCATATAAAAATCTGTTAATTTATCCCCACCTGTATAACAAAATACCTAAGTATACAATTATCAAAAACATAATTTTGAAGATTTGCTCATTCTTTCCTTCAATTCATTATGAAAATACTGATCAGGGAAGAAGCACTTCAAAAGCTTTAGCCCCATTCCCTCTCACCATAAGCCAGTGATGTGCAGTTCCAATTACCTACAGCTGACTACAGTAATTCTTTCATTTAGATTAAGGTAATTTCTGACATAAAATTCTTACAGATCTTCCAAATCTATACACAAATTAAAAAGATTCTTTTCTGTAATATGCATATCGAAAAATTACTTGCACTTACTTTTAGGGGTCACTTCACCTTCATTTTTTTCTAAAGCAGCCAAACATATCGAGTTTTCCTGAGCCTATTAATTAGTATTTGAGATAAAGTAAAAAGACAGAATAATAGGCACATACCTCATTCACAACCATATAATCTGCAACTCAGAATGTTATAACAAAGATGTTCAAACATTATTTAGTATAAATACCACTACATTTCCTTCTCTTTTAGTTGCCTAGGGAAAATGATTTTATCAGACAAAAGGACAGACCACACAAAGGAGAAGGCTCAAATAAAATCTCAACTACCTTTATAAAATATCTGCAGAATTGTTTTCCAAAATACAACTGTTTCCAAAATTGTGTAGTACGTATTTAAGGATTTTTACCTACATCATGCATTGTGCTACAGCACCAGTACGCAGTCAAATTTTTCATGAGTATATTTTTAAGAACTCAAATGACTTCTGTGGGAAGTAAGGACACGAGAAATCTTGTTTTAGAGCATCAAACAAGCCAAACATTCACTTCATTCTCACAGTCTTTTGTGTACAGCACTGAGTAGCTTTCAGTAAGCAGAGTCTTCCCCTCTGAGATACGCAAGCTCCTGATTGTTACTGCCGTTCAAAGGATCAGTGAAGATGGCTAGCTAATACTGTACAGCTGCTCCAAACTTCTCAAGCAAATAAGAAAACAACCACCAATAAAAGATACCTTATTAAAGGAAGAACTAACATCTTTTTCTTAGAAACCAGAAGCTGCATTAAAGAACAGGATAATGATATACAGTGACAGATTAATCTTTAAGGGATTTCCTGCTGCTACTCTACACTCTGCTGAAGGAATATATTGAAAGATAGCCAATGGAGGTGGCGGTGGGGAACATCATAGCGGGGAAGAGTCAAGATACAGAGAAAGGTGCTGTTCCTTATTAACCAGTTATAGCTAAAATTGCAAGTTTAATAACAAATCTGAGACAGCTCACACCAATGAAACTCCTATTTATCTATTCATTGTCAAACAGTTGGCCAATACCAACACATGCATGAATGATCTATCAGTGTATTTGAAATATATAAAATTGACAGCAGGCTATGCAATGAAAAGTAAAATGACAAAGCATAGCAAGTTTGACCACAACTCACCCACAAGTAAGTTTTGCTGCAGTTGAGAAGAGATAAAGTGACATAAAGCATTAAGCTATGGGTTTACAAGATTTCAAAAGTCCTAAGAACCTGACCTTGATTTAACCATTTCATCACTCACAACCAGCAATGCACACAGGCAGTTCCTCAGACATTACATTTTACTACCATTTCTGATCTCAGAAAAACCTCAGAACAGAGGTTTATGCCATTTAATTTGTCTAAAATCAAGTTACTGATTTGCAATAAGTAACACTCATAGTTCCAAAATTGCACGTGCAGAATACTAACCTTTTGTTTCTTTTGTTTAATTTTTCTGGCTTCCTCTGCTGCAATACCAGCTGCCTCATTGAGGTATTTATTGCCTACTTTACTTTCAAACCATTTTAGGTCTACAAAGACTTCACTGAAGTGTTCACGATCAAACTGTACAAGAAGATTAAAGTAAGTTTAAAAATATTTGAGGGAAGATGAATTTAGAGTGCTAAATTAACAATGTCTTCATAGTACATGCATTAGGTTACACCTGGAGGCATTTGTACATAAACATTTTTGCCCTAGAGCTACAATTAAACCAATAGATTAGCATTAAAAATATTTTTTTCTTAGTGATACATAACATATACCCAAGCTGTATTTTGTTTTCTTTCAGTAAGGCAGCATTGTGTAATAAAAATAGCTAGATAATTTCCACATTTCACTATCAACTCTAGAAGTAGTAAAACATATGTAGGGCTTGGGTGCCACACATGCAACGCTTTCATACTTCTACCCAAGAATCAGAAGACAGGGCTGAAACAGGGAAAGCAGACGAATGAACTTCCTCCTTCCAAGTTCAGCAGAAGGCTGAGACCTTTCCCGTTCTATCTGCCTCCTGTATGCCAGTGAATTAATGAAGAATGGTGATGCCTGTCTCAAAGATACTAATGCTTCATCACTCTTGACCAATGATCTTCATTAAAAACTTGTAAAATTACTGCTCTCCAAGAGCTTATCCCACAAGAAAGTGACCAGCAAAGAATATTGCTGCCTAGAGCACGTTTTGCACAGTACTGTCCCTCATTACTCAAATGAGGTAAATCCTCATTTGATTTGCAGTACTAAAAGACACTGGCTAAAGCATAGATTAAACGATTCAATCTTTTTCCTCTTATGATAAGATTAAACAGAAACTGATTGGATCCCATCATTTAAATGATAAGACTTAACCACTTCTAAAACTCAGTCATTTAACAGTTCATTAAAACTACAGCATGGTGTATTTTAGGGCACCATATTGAGGTTAAATTCAACAGACTATACCATTCTATACAGAGCAATTTTGAAATTACTCACATCTGATAATCTCGTGAGATATTTCTCAAAGCGTTTTAAATTCAGATGTCCATTCTCATTTATGTAACCTATTGGGAAAATAAAGTACGGGTTTTAAATTAACAATTTTAAAATTTCAATTTAAATGCCCCATAGATAACAGAATGCAGTCTTCCTGCCTGTCTAAAGAAAGTGTTAGAAATGCTAAACATTCTAACATGGTTAAAAAGGTCAATAAATATTAACACGGGAATGTTAATGTTTCTTCTTTCCACAACTGTGGAAAAGTGTTCTTACCTCCCAGTTCTGGCAAGATAGCCATGTATGTTCTATAAAGTAGCGGCAGTGCATCATGATTAATGTGTAAATGAGGTAGATGAGGAATAAAATCATTTCCTACAAGGAAACCCATTAAGATCCAATCATCTATTATCCTTTCAATATCATATTCAAAGGAAATCTTGTCCTGGAGGGGGGTGGGGAGGGGGAAACAAACACAGCAGTGTAATTTTTATTATCATGTTGCATAAAAAGACCTCACACACTTTTTCAGTCACAGCTCCATTAAAAACTTACTTTTACTGGTGAAAATTCATAATCGATATATTCTCTCATAAGTGATAAGTGCAGTAAATGAAATGTGGTTTCCTCTGGGGCACATGCTCTGTAAATTATTCAAAACATTAAATTAAATTATTTATGAACACACTTTCAACATGAATATTTAATAAATCCAAGGTTACCTAAAACCAAGTAATCTTACTGGGATTAAATCTTTGCAGAAGAAATACATAAACTTTTCTTTGCATCTGTTTTAGGATTCATCTGGTTAAATAAAATTTTGCAGTAGAATCTTCTGAACAGGAGACATAAGTGCACTGTATGGAAAACAGCTAGCTTAGAGAAAGCAGGGCAGCTTTGTAAAGTTCCATGTTTCATTAACTATTTCCCAAGTAATTATCACATTGTCCAAAAAATGGACAGCCTAACCTAACTTTGTACCAAACAAATAAATTTTAAGGTATTTTAGAACTAGTCTGAGTACACATAGAGTATAAAGCTCATGTCTAAAGTTGCTGGGTTACATCTGCAATCATTTGAAATGCTTGTTGTAAGAAAGAATATGTTCAACTTAAAGACACACTACGTATGTATTATCTGGTGGCTTCAACACAGCACCAAAAAAAAATTACAAACCTACTATTTATGGCATAGATTAGTCAACATATATTCTGCCTTCTTTTCCTCTTCATTAGAATTACTTAATATGAATGCCAATATTAGGCCAAAACCTCAAGACTGATGTATTATTAAATTCATAAAGGACTATTTCACCTTGTAGATACTATAACCAGCTGGGACCACCTCCAATGACAAACCAACAGAAATATCTGTGTATTCAAACATACAAAGCAGATTTTGGCTAAAATCCTCTGAGGAGGATGTGTGTGATATACAAGCTTATATGAAGATTACAAAAATTAACTCTGAACTACAAAGAAGTTTAGACTCTGGCTGCACAGAAGTTTAGACTCAGATTTTTTTTAATGTGCTGATGTCCTGATAGCACATGCTTTCTCATGTAAAATCACTCGAGTGCACAATTTAACAACTTGATTTCATGGATTTTAGCAACAAAGACTTTATTTAGTATGCAATCAATAAAAAAAATCCCAACCTGCTTTAGTCACCCAGTATCTTTCAGATTTAGTTTCATCATATATAAAAAGTGAAGTTAAATCAATTTACCTTTGAGATTTTTTACCACCAAATCTGACTTCTTCTCTTAAGAGTGCAAAGTGTGCCTCATGACTTGTTAATCCCAGCATAATCTGTTATGAAGAAAGATCTTTATTATTATTGAACTGCTACTCAAGATTTGAGCAGCATAAAATAATTTTGCTGTTCTGTTTAATTACAAATTCAAAAGTTTGCAAGAATACAAAGCTACATGCTTGTTTAATAACATTCATTTTAGAATCCTGTGCACTTAGGAAGACATGAAATATACTTTATAAACTTCTGTTGTATTATTTGCACATACCAAGTCAGCATCTAAGCCATAGAGACAGTGTCTTGTGTTTGGGTCGTGATGGGGCTTTGCTTTTTCTGATCTGATGAACTCCATAATTTTATGCTCACCTTCCCCCGGAGTCTGCACAAAAACCCCCCCACAACAACAAATTCATCAGTATTTTTCTATAAAATAAACATCTATTTAACATAAAATATTAACAAAATACAATGACCTCATGGCCTGATAAGTAGACTGTTACTCCTTGCCAGGATTTGTCTGTGGAAATCTTCATATTTACAAAGTATTTAAGATGCTCATGCAATCTGGCCATGAATTCAGTTCCTGAAAACAAAAATCGAAGTTACACACAAAACTTTACACTAGTCATTCAAAACTGTATTTACATATCAAAATTATTAATGAAAAAACAAAAAAAACCCCTAAAACCAAAACCAACACAACACCAAAACAAAAAAAACAATAAACACAAAAACATCCAAAACAAACAAAAGCAACAACAACAAAAAACCAAACCACAAAACTCAACAAACAAACAAAAAAAAACCCCAAACCAAAAACACCTCAAAACCCAAGTTAAAATTCCGCATGGGATGAAGGGAATAGCTGAGTTTTTTCCTATGAGAATCCATCTTTTCCACTGCAATCTACAAAAATTTTTAGAGGAAGACAGTATTCCAGTCTTACTAGAAGTTATTTAAACTTCTGTTCTCAACTTGAGCCTTTACCAATTTTGTTCTCCAATTAAAAAAAAAATTCTTTAGGGTAGGGAAATAGATGCAAAACCATAAATCTAAACATTTAAATTTAAATACTCAACAAATATTCTTACCTGGTGTAATACAGTTGGAGTCAAATCTGGCTTCTGTTGGGAGAGTTTCTCCCTTTTCTAAAGCCTTTTTTATTTTGTCCTCTGCCTCTTTTGCTGATCT